TTGATACCTACATGAACCCATTCATAATCAACAGTAGCAGCCTTAGGAGATATTTAAATTAATATTACCAATATGCCCACAACATATATTCGTTGATAAATATTTGTACTATATACTAAGCCATATTTACTTATATCAGTAATGTGTTTCTCAAAGAAATAAGAAGGAGAAAAAAATGCTTTTTACAGTATAGCTTTTGTGCCAGGTCAAGTAACCGAAGGACATTCTCACTCAACCCAGGTGATCATATGAGTGGTTATTTACCATAACATCAGTCTAGTCATTAGCATGTGGAAAACCACTCCTGATATTTCAGAAAACAGGTCACAAAGAAGTACCCTTATTTCATAAATATTCAGCTGATCAAAACACTGAATATTGTACTGAAACAACTGTCCCAAAATTAAAAGATATGAGTTGCAGTTTCCAGGTTTCATCAGCAACGGGGCTAATGACAAGCACATGCACATTAACTCTACTCTTGCAACTACTCGCAAATCTCAAGGGAAGCATCTGCAATTGCCCCTCCAAAAAGCCAATACAGTATAAGAGGTGGAAGGAAAGCATTGCAATTGCCCCTCCAAAAAGTTGCTGCAATTGTTTCTAACTCATGTATTCTTTTAACACATCAAATAAAAAGCATCTGCACTCTAAACAGACTGCTGACAGTACTGTTTTTCAATTAGGTGCAAGGGCCATATCTCAATGGTAAAATAGTGTTTTGCATGCAAAAGGTTCAAGCATTGACTACTGGCATCTTCAAAGCTTTCAGATTAAAATGTCTAAGGCTTGAAAAAGATATTTTAGGAATATATAGAAGATTAGACAGATAGATGAGTTAGATGAACCAGTAATCTGATTTATAGTGTAGATAAAATCACAATCAATTTCTTCCAAACAAAATTAAGAAAATGAGTTTTAATCTAAATTTCATTTCTCTCTCTGCAACTTTGTGTACACATAACCAAGTCTTTACCTCTCTGGTCCTTAAAATACTGAAATGTCAATGAATGAAGGACTGCTAGAGATAAAATCTCTCTACCCAAGGAAATTACGAAAAATATGTATTGTACACATGGGTGCATGTTTTCATGTGAAAAAAGTCACATGATTAATCTATATGAGTAATTATTTAAACTGTGATTTAAATCAAATTTACTCTGCTGAGTGTATAATACAGCTCATGGCCAATCTGAATCTCAAGTTTGGTACTTCATTTCCAAACTTTTTTACATTTACAGCATGGAAATTACTTTCTGGATTACAATTCTAAGAATCCCCTAGCTAGAATAGCACAATCCATAATGGATTGTCAAAGTCTAAAATTAAATCATGATATTTCAAAGAACTAGAAAAACTGTTAAAATATTCCACACATAAGGGAAACATTAGCTTTACCTTCCATTTCATCTTAAGAGTGCTTAACACACATAAGGGTTCTGAAGGCATCACTTCAGATGACATTCATCCATCTGCAAACTTTCTCCATTCAACATAAGCAACTGCACTAATTTTACTACCATTTATTTTATTTATTTATTTATTTGATTTTTACCCCGCCCCTCTAGACCATGTCTACTCGGGGCGGCTGAGTACCATGTGACTGCATCTATTTATCACATTTATTGATTGATTGATTGATTGATTGGACTTATATACCGCCCCATAGCGCTACAAGCACTCTCCGGGCGGTTTACAATTTTTAATTATACAGGCTACACATTGCCCCCCCCCCCAGCAAGCTGGGTACTCATTTTACCGACCTCGGAAGGATGGAAGGCTGAGTCAACCTTGAGCCGGCTACCTGGGATTTGAGCCCCAGGTCGTGAGCACAGTTTAGCTGCAGTACAGCGTTTTAACCACTGTGCCACGAGGCTCTTATTGCTCTGAGCAACACAACAAAGCAGGCTTTGGGTTCTCAAGACACGTTCTTGCTGAAACAGGTATTAGTATTCATATAATAGTAAACTGCATGGCACAAGTGCTTCCTTCTAAAGGTAAAGGTAAAGGTTCCCCTTGACAATTTTTGTCCAGTCGTGTCCGACTCTAGGGGGCGGCGCTCATCCCGCTCTTCAAGCCATAGAGCCAGCGTTTGTCCGAAGACAATCTTTCCGTGGTCACATGGCCAGTGTGATTTAGACACGGAACACTGTTTACCTTCCCACCGAGATGGTACCTATTTATCTACTCGCATTTGCATGCTTTCGAACCGCTAGGTTGGCGGGAGCTGGGACAAGCAACGGGCGCTCACTCCGTCGCGTGGATTCGATCTTACGACTGCTTGGTCTTCTGACCCTGCAGCACAGGCTTCTGCAGTTTAGCCCACAGCGCCACCACGTCCCTTGCTTCCTTCTACCTACACTGAAAAGCTTATCAACAATGGTCAATTACTATATGTGAAACAGTCTTAATCCTAAACATACTACAACTACAAAACATGAAAATTACAGAAGTTCACTGTCAGCTATTTCAAAACATCCGTTGGTAATTTGTTTCTTCCTTAAATATACATCATGCACACTTCCTGACATTTCACCAAAACTTTCCTTCTTAACATAACCAAGCATGTTCAGTAGTAGCTGTAAGGAAAGTGGGGGTTCCCGTGCTTTGATTTTTAAAAAATCACCAATACACCTGTGATGGTAGATTACTATTATAACTAAACTGTCTCTCTCTTTTTTTTGTCAATGAGTTTTAAAAAAATTCTGAGTGATGAAGGATTCAGAATTATATTAATATTAATTGTGGAGATAGCTGATGTTCAATGGCATAGAGAGGGACAGGGATCTTGAAGTCATCTCCAAACAAACTGAATTCTGATCACTAGAAGAAAATACTTACTTGGATTTTTCACACATTAAACTGAGAACCTACTAAACTGTACACATCTTCCTTGTGGGTAATATCCATGGCATAATTTCCATTGGGTTGACTAGCTATATAAATTTAAAAATTAATCAAATCATGTTTAAAAGCTGGGAAGAAGGCACAGCGGGACATTTTTTCAACAATGAACACAACTCCCAAAGTTCAGGAAACCTATCTCCAAATAATTGGCAGTTGGTTGCATTGCACAAGTCCTAAAAGGCCATCATGGAAGATCTCTCAAGAAATCGCCTTACACTTCCTTTAACACTATGATTCCGAAAGCCTCCAACTAACTAGTCACCCAATTTTGGAAACCACTGACTTTCTTATCACAGTCCCCAGTTCTAACAGTTTAGTGTAGCCAATACATTTGTTATCTCCACATGAGCAACTCATGTTCTGAAATATTTATTTCTATAAAAGAATGCCACTGCCTCAAAGAGATGGGGAATATTATAAACTATGTAAAACTGTTTCCTTTCACCTTTAGGAATATTTTTAATGGAAAAGCAGGAGGGACTTATACAACAGGTCAGAAAGTAAAAATGGAATTCAGCCACAATTTTTATACAGAATCTTGCATCTTGGTCACTGCAATATACAAGAGAATTAAGATAGTTTGACTAATTTATGATGTATATACTGCAGAACAAACATGCAGAAGAAGTGGCAGTAAGGATGCATTTACCATATTTAATCAATAGCCACAGAGAATGTAATGCAAGACATGGATCTTTTAAAACTGAAAGAGGAACCCTTGAAATCAATAGAACAGAGCTCTGTTTACAAGAATGGTTACAAGATTAGCAGCTAAAAATGTACAAGGTTCTCTAGCACCACCTCTCTCAACATGCTGTCCTCCAGATATTCTGGAGTACAGTTTCCATAATCTCTGGCATTCATGGCAGGTACAGTGCAATGTATCTAGCAGTCACTATGTTTGGGAATGCTTGCTCTAAAAGCACAGAGTCTTATAGCTCAACCCTGTACTAAAAAAAAGAAGAAGAAGCCATCTCAGACCTAATGACTAGTCACTTTTCTTGCACCTCAGACACAGGCAGAAGAATATTCAATACTCTTCTGCACCACTTTCCACAGCCTTTCAAACCAACACATTTTCATCCATCCGCTACAGACCTGTAATATCTTTACACAAACCAAATTATCTTCACACCATCCCTAGTCCACAGGGATTGGACACCTTTTTTTATTTTTCCTTTTCTCCTACTGCAGGCTTGGATGGAAAGGGCAGGAATTGGTTTATTTTAGTTATTTATTTTAAAGCTTCTATTTCTGCTTTTTTCTCCTTCTCTCTGGCCACTGACCCACCGACCCACCTTCCTTCTGTCTGGAAAAGAACAAAACCCTCAGTTTCTCAAAAGGGAAAGCCAGCAGGTCTGAGCAGGGAGTTGAAAAGGCCAACAAGGCTGCGGGGCCAGGAAGAAGAGAGAGAGAGAGAGAGAGGGTCAGGCTTTCTTGTCTTCTCTCTTCCAGCAAGGAGAGGAAGTTTCCACAAAACCAGGAACACTGTAACCTGCAGGGAGAACTAAAACACAAAAAAGCCCGGCTTGCTTCGTTTCCTTTCTCTTTCTTTCCTCTTAAGTCGTTTTGCTGGCAAATCCGGGTCCACAAAGCCAACGTAGGGTATAAAAGTCAAGAGGCTAAAGCAAATGCACGATATATCATACATAATAATAATAAGAATTCCCAAAGCTGGTTCTGGGTGTCCTTTTTTCTCTCCCCCCCCCATCCCTTTTCCAGAACCTCCTCATGCTTACAATCTATAAGCAATGCGGGTAAAGGGGAAAAGAGATGCAGCCCAGCTCCAGGAATGGAGGGGAGGGGGGAGAGCGCGAGCAGGAAACGGCTCCTGCCGCAGCATCCCCGGGAAGAAAGCGAAGGAAAGCCCGGCGTCGCCGTCGCGGCCTAGGAAAGGGTGGGAAGGGGACCGGGGTGAGGCGGGGGGGGAGGCGCCGTCTCCTAACCCCCTACCCCACCCCCGGCCACCCCAGCCGACCGACCCCGGGTCGAGGGAAAGAAAAGCGAGTTTTCCACGACCACCACCAACCCCCCCTCCGGAAGAAACCGGGCGCGGGACCCGAGGCAAAGGAGGCAGCCCTTCTTGTACTCACCGAGGGGCGCCCCCCAAGAGACGGACGAAGGCGGCGGGCTCCACCGTCGCGTCCTCCCCCCTTCCAGCTGAGGGGGGAGAAAAAAAAGGGGGCCGGGAGGATGCCCCCCCTTAAGATCCGCCCCCGCCCCCTGAGAGGGCTTATGTGTCCCTTTGGGTATCAATAATAAATTTATTATTTTAAAAAAATGAGAGAAAAGGGTTTCAGTTTTTTTTGAAATTCTGAAAAAGAGAAGCTGAGGCGATGATAATAATAATAATAATGATGATGAGAGAAGAGCGCCGGTTGTCCAGAAGGGCCTGGGAGGGGCGGCTCTCCGCCTCCCTTTCTCTCTCCCCCCTTCCTTTCCTTTCCTACGGCGAGGCTGCAGCCCCGAGGAAGGTGGCTTTCCAGCGGCCGCCCGCAGTCGGACTCCCCTCAGCTGGCGGGTCCCGGCGTCGCCTCTTCCCCATCAATCAAGGCCCGGCCTGGCGGAGCGGACCCTCCCGGGAGGCGAGAAGGCGGCGCTTTCGCTCCTCTCCCACCGCTCCTGCCCTCAACGCCGCCGCCGCCGCCGTGGCTCCCGCCGCAGCTGCTGGTGGCCATTTTAACTCGCCTGTTCCGTCCTCCTCCTCCTCCCTCTGGGGGCTGTTGGCGGCCGCCACCACCACTCCCACCGCCGCGGCTCCCTTTTCCCCGGCGCTTCTCTCCTCTCTGCCTGTCTCCCTCCTTCGTTTCCCGTCCTTCCTTCCTTCCCCGGTTGCCAGAGTCGGCCTCCCTTCGGCCCGCCTCTCCAGTTCCCTCCCAGAGCCGCCCCTGACGGAGTGAGCGGTGGCGGACGGGCTCCCTCTCAGCTATTGCTGGCTGGACAAGACTGAAGCTGAGGGCTCTCCTTCTTCATCATCCCCCTCTCGTTCAGCTTGGGCTTGGTTGCCTCTCAAAGCCCCCTCTCGTCTGCCTTTTCTCTCCCTCCGCCACCCTACAACATGACGTCTCCCCCAAATACCAGCCTTCCAAACTTTTAACTTAGCTCGAGGATTTGGGGACTTGACCCCACCCCAGATTACATATTGGGGTTCGATATGGGTCTTTCATCGACCTCCTTTAAAATGAGATCTAACTCGTCCCTCTTCATACCTAGTGGATCCTAAAAGAGCCTAATGGC